ATCCTCGTCTTGTTTTCGTCCTGTTTGTCCTCTTTCTAGATCCTCAAGCTGGATCCCGCCTCTCTTGCCGACCGACTCTCCTCTCTGTCCCTGGAGCCTGCCCCTGCCATGAGCAACCCCCGCCCACTTCCGGAAGCCTTCCTCAAGACCTTCCGTGCCCCAGTGTTTACTGGGAAGAGCCGCTCCTCCTCGGTGGAGGACTGGCTGCAGCAACTCGAGGACTACCTCGATGCTGCCCAAGTCGCCCCCACCCACCACATCGTCGCCGCCAAGCTCTGCTTAAAGGACCAGGCGTACCGTTGGTACCGCCGCCAAGGGTTCGACGAGCAGAGCGAAGGTGTGTTTGACGACTTCAAGGACCGCCTCCGTCGCCGCTTCGGCAGCCCCAATGCTGAACTCATTGCCCGTGACAAGCTATACTCTCTCGTGCAGCGTGGTTCTGTGACCCGCTACATCGAGGAGTTTGAAGACCTCTCCTCCCAGATTGAGGAGCTGGGCTCTGCTGATGCGATGTACCTCTTCCAGAAGGGCCTCAAGCCCAAGATCAGAGAGTACATCGCCAGCAACCCTGATGCCCGCAAGTCCCTGGACGTGATGATGGACGTTGCCGAGAACCTCGACAACGTCCAGTACCATGGCCGCCAGTTCTACCCGCAGCTGGCAGGCGGCCATCGGTCTCATCACGTCCCAGCCCGTCCGCCTCGCCCGGCCCCGCCCGCAAGACCCATGCCTGAGCCCATGGACGTTGACGTCAACGCCATGGAGGCTCGTGGCCCTCCCCGCTCCCGGTTCCAGCAAGCTGCCACTGTCTCCCCCAAGGACAGACAGAAGCAGGAGGACCTCCGCCATGGTTCCTGCTTCTTCTGTCACCGACCGGGACACCAGGCCAAGGAGTGCCCCATGAAGTCGGGAAACGGCCGACCCTACTAGGTGGCTCTGGAGCCCTAGTAGGAGACCAACGCCGTGGATTGCTCAATGCAGTCCACGCGTCTCCAGAGGAAGTTCACCTCGCCCCCTCCCCCGAAGGAGAAACAAACCAAGTGTTGTGCGTCGTGCGAGAGGTGCATGGTGGCGCAAGCCGCCTGCCTCTCCACGAACGTGAAGAGAAAACCAAAATTGAAAACCAAAACAAAAAAGAAAATCAAGAACCCTTGAGGGACAGGACCGCCTGTGCCCTCACCCCTGTCAAGTCGTGTGTGTCGGATGCTTCCGACATGTGTCCGCAAGCCGTGGACGTCGTGTGCAATGGCGTGCTGACGCCGCAGGCCCCCGCAATGGCCGAACCCTATCCAAAATGTCCGAGTGGCCGTGATGAAGCCAACCAAGACCAAGTGTCGCCCGTTCCCCCAAGTCAAGTCATGGTGCAGGAGGCTGTGCAGGAGGACCATGAAGAGTCCCTGCTGTACCTCCCTGCCACCGTCCAAGGTCACACCGTCCGAATGATGGTGGACTCTGGAGCAAGCTGCAACTTTGTCAGCAGACGCTTGCTCCAGGAGCTCAACATACATGCAACCAAGAAGAAGTCGCCGATGAGTGTGGCGCTTGCAGACGATCGTGTGCAGCAGTGCACACACCAAGTGGTCCTGCGAGTGGCCCTCCATCCCAAGTACCATCCTGTCCTGTTGTTCCAAGTGATCGACACCAAGTTCGATGCCATCCTCGGCATGAGCTGGCTTGCTCGTGCCGAGCCGACTCCAGTCGTCGACTGGAAAGGCCGCACTGTCCGTGTTGGCCCTGACATTGTCCTGCAGGGCATGGCCTCACCCAACATGCCACCTCTCCTCTCAGCCATGCAATTCAAGAGGCTGATCAAGAAGGACACGTCGTTCCTCTGTGTCGTGCGTGAGGTCGACGACACCGACCAAGCCGGTCCCGGTCCCCCGCCTGTGGTGACCAAGCTGCTCGACGAGTACAAGGACGTATTCCCCGACCAGTTGCCACAATGCCTGCCACCCCAACGCACCGTCGATCATCGCATCGACATCGAACCAGGCTCGTCGCCTCCGTCAAGACCGACGTACCAACTGTCGCTGACGGAGATGGACGAACTCAAGCGCCAGTTGGATGACCTCCTCGCCCATGGGTTCATCCGCCCGAGCCAGTCACCGTATGGTGCACCAGTGCTCTTTGTCAAGAAGAAAGAAGGTGATCTCAGGATGTGCGTCGACTATCGCGCACTAAACAAACAGACCATCAAGAACACCTACCCGTTGCCCAGGATCGACGAGTTGATGGATCGTCTGAGTGGAGCAAAGGTCTTTAGCAAGATAGACCTCCGCTCAGGCTACCATCAGATCCGCATCCACGAGGATGATGTCCACAAGACCGCCTTCAGGACTCGCTACGGACTGTACGAGTTCCTAGTGCTGCCGTTCGGATTGACGAACGCACCTGCCACGTTCATGCAGCTGATGAACGATGTGTTCCGCCAAGAGCTCGACAACTCTGTCATCGTGTACCTGGATGATATCCTTGTGTACAGCAAGGATGAAGCGACCCATGAAGGTCATGTCGCCCGCGTGCTGGCCAAGCTACGCGAGCACAAGTTGTATGCCAAACTGTCCAAGTGTGAGTTCTTCAAGAATCAAGTCCCGTTCCTGGGACACGTTGTCTCAGGAAGAGGAATCGAAGTCGACCCCGCCAAGGTCAAGTCTGTGGTCGAGTGGCCGCCGCTCGCATGCGTCTCTGACGTGCAGTCGTTTCTCGGTCTCGTCAACTACTACCGCCGATTCATCCCCGATCTGGCGCGCACTGCCGGTCCACTCACAGACCTACTCCGCAAAGAGTGCCCCTTCGTGTGGGACCACCCACAACGCCAAGCGTTCGAGACCCTCAAGCACGCCTTGACGAACGCTCCTGTCCTCGCTGTGTTCGACCCGAACACGGATGTCTCCGTGCACACCGACGCCTCCGACTTTGCGGTGGGAGCTGTTTTGATGCAGGAGGGAAGGCCCGTTGCCTTCGAGTCGCGCAAACTGTCCCAACACGAGATCAACTATCCCGTGCACGAGAAGGAGCAGCTTGCGATCATCTACGCGCTGCAGAAGTTCCGAGTGTACCTCCACGGTACCGCCAAGCCCTTCAAGATTGTGACGGACCACCAGTCACTGCGTTACCTCGACACCAAGAAGAACCTGAGCCGACGCCAAGCGCGATGGATGGAGTTCCTCGCCGAGTACAACTACGAGGTTGTATACCAGAAAGGCAAACTCAATGTGGTGCCTGACGCACTGTCCCGACGCCCCGACTACCAATTGGCGTCACTGTACGAGTCGACTGTCAGTGTCGACAACACGATGCTGGATGTTGTCCGAGACAACATCGCCAACGACAAACAGTTCGGAGAACTGTTCCGAAAGGTGTCTAAGCTCCCCAAGGACGACGAATCATCCGAGTACACAGTGCGTGATGGCCTGCTCCTCCTGAAGAAGGACAGCCGTGTCTGTGTGCCGGACATTCCGTCGTTGAAGACCAAGTTGCTCCAAGAGGTCCACGACTCGCCCCTCGCTGGACACTTTGGAGTCGAGAAGACATACGACCGACTGGCCAAAGTCGCATACTGGCCTGGAATGAAGCGCACCGTCGAGAAGTACATCGAGTCCTGCCATACCTGCAAGATGGTCAAGTCACGCACGACCCGAGAGCAAGGATTGCTGCAACCCCTGCCTGTTCCCGACCGCCCCTGGACCAGCATGTCCATGGATCTCATCACGCATCTACCGACGACCAAGTTGGACCACGATGCAATCGCTGTCTTTGTCGACAGGTTCAGCAAGATGGCACACTTTGTGCCGTGCCAGACGACATGCTCCGCGCCTGACCTTGCACTGCTGTTCTTCAAGCATGTGTTCAAGCACCACGGCCTCCCAAAGTCCATCGTCAGTGATCGAGACCCCCGATTCACCTCCTTGTTTTGGACAAGTCTGTTCGACCATCTCGGCACCAAGCTGAACATGTCAACCTCGCACCACCAACAAACGGATGGACAGTCCGAGCGGACGATCCGCACCCTCGAGCAATACCTGAGGACATACGCCTCGACCAGCCAAGACGACTGGGACATACAGCTGAGTCATGCAGAGTTTGCATACAACACCGCCAAGTCGAGCACAACTGGCTTGAGCCCCTTTGAGGCGCTCTACGGATTCCAGCCTGATGTTCCCACCTCCTTGACACTGACCGAGTCCACGGCTGGATTGCCTCCCAAACCAAGTGCCTTTGTCAAAGATCATCAAGTCCGACACAAGATGATCGCCGACGCGCTCACGGATGCGCAACAAGTGATGGCGAAGTACTACGACCGCCGACACCAGGATGTCTCCTTTGAAGTTGGAGACCTTGTCTACCTGGACGCCGACAACATCAAGGTCCCCGAAGCCCAGTCAAAGAAGTTGTTGCCCAAGTACCGAGGACCGTTCAAGATAGCGGCCCGACCCAGTCCCCTCAACTACCTGTTGGACTTGCCACCTGGAAGCAAGCTCCATCCTGTCTTCCATGTGTCCAAGCTGCGTCGCCACACGACCCGCAGTCCAGCACAGTTCCCCGACGCCGACGAAGGTGTCCCGGACGACGCACCACTGGAAGACGACCTCGGACAATACTATACTCAAGAATATGAAGTCGAAAGGATCGTGAGGCACAAGAAAGTGGCTGATGGGTCACTTCGGTTTTATGTCAAGTGGGTTGGTTACCCACACTCGGGCAACACATGGCAAACACTGGAGGACTTGTCCCATGCACCCGAGGAGCTGAGTAAATACGGTAAACACCTCGAGGAGCCCCAAATAAAGAGCACACGCAGGGCTCCTCGCAGGAAGCCTTCTTAAGTGTGGGAGTGTAGGAGATGGTATCTCCGACGCTGTGCTGCGCGTACTGCGCGTACTGCGCGGCGCAGTGGGTCGTGACCTGTGCTGCGCTTTGCGTTTTCACGCACCGCAGGCAGGCCACCGCAGGGTATACCTGCGGGTTGCCCCCGTTCCCCCCCGTTTGTCTGGAGTTCGGTTTTATCGTGAATAAACGTAAGTGCTCCCCGAGCTCACCCGTCCGCTAGAGTAGCCTAGCACCGCCCTGTTCTGCCCCGTCCTGTCTTGTCTTGTACCCCCTCCCTCCCCGTCTTGCCCCAACGTCCCAGTAGTGGACGTTACAGAGCAATCCACGGCGTTGGTCTCCTACTAGGGCTCCAGAGCCACCTAGTAGGGTCGGCCGTTTCCCGACTTCATGGGGCACTCCTTGGCCTGGTGTCCCGGTCGGTGACAGAAGAAGCAGGAACCATGGCGGAGGTCCTCCTGCTTCTGTCTGTCCTTGGGGGAGACAGTGGCAGCTTGCTGGAACCGGGAGCGGGGAGGGCCACGAGCCTCCATGGCGTTGACGTCAACGTCCATGGGCTCAGGCATGGGTCTTGCGGGCGGGGCCGGGCGAGGCGGACGGGCTGGGACGTGATGAGACCGATGGCCGCCTGCCAGCTGCGGGTAGAACTGGCGGCCATGGTACTGGACGTTGTCGAGGTTCTCGGCAACGTCCATCATCACGTCCAGGGACTTGCGGGCATCAGGGTTGCTGGCGATGTACTCTCTGATCTTGGGCTTGAGGCCCTTCTGGAAGAGGTACATCGCATCAGCAGAGCCCAGCTCCTCAATCTGGGAGGAGAGGTCTTCAAACTCCTCGATGTAGCGGGTCACAGAACCACGCTGCACGAGAGAGTATAGCTTGTCACGGGCAATGAGTTCAGCATTGGGGCTGCCGAAGCGGCGACGGAGGCGGTCCTTGAAGTCGTCAAACACACCTTCGCTCTGCTCGTCGAACCCTTGGCGGCGGTACCAACGGTACGCCTGGTCCTTTAAGCAGAGCTTGGCGGCGACGATGTGGTGGGTGGGGGCGACTTGGGCAGCATCGAGGTAGTCCTCGAGTTGCTGCAGCCAGTCCTCCACCGAGGAGGAGCGGCTCTTCCCAGTAAACACTGGGGCACGGAAGGTCTTGAGGAAGGCTTCCGGAAGTGGGCGGGGGTTGCTCATGGCAGGGGCAGGCTCCAGGGACAGAGAGGAGAGTCGGTCGGCAAGAGAGGCGGGATCCAGCTTGAGGATCTAGAAAGAGGACAAACAGGACGAAAACAAGACGAGGATTTCCGATGCTACCATGTAACGTCCACTACTGGGACGTTGGGGCAAGACGGGGAGGGAGGGGGTACAAGACAAGACAGGACGGGGCAGAACAGGGCGGTGCTAGGCTACTCTAGCGGACGGGTGAGCTCGGGGAGCACTTACGTTTATTCACGATAAAACCGAACTCCAGACAAACGGGGGGGAACGGGGGCAACCCGCAGGTATACCCTGCGGTGGCCTGCCTGCGGTGCGTGAAAACGCAAAGCGCAGCACAGGTCACGACCCACTGCGCCGCGCAGTACGCGCAGTACGCGCAGCACAGCGTCGGAGATACCATCTCCTACACTTGCCCTGGATCGGAGCCGGTGTCGGGAGCTGGAGTTTGTCGCTGGGCATAAAGTTTTGCGGCGCCATCGTCGGCACCTGAGGCATGGACGAGCCCACGTAACGAGTCTCGGTATTGAGCTCCTTTCTGGTCTGAGGCATGTTTGGGTTGGGGAGATACGGCATCGTCGGAACCTTGTTGAATGCGCTCTGAGCGGTCTGCTGGATGGCCCCATATTGATCGGATGCGCGGGCAGGCAGGAAGAAGCTGCCATCGACATAGCCTGCTTCGGTGCTGGCTTTGGCTCCGGCCTGACTCCACACGCCCTGGATGGTGTTGTTGACGATTCGAGTGTAGTCGGTATTCTGTGAGGGTAGTGAAGAGACGCTGGTGACCGGGATAGGGTAATAATCCGCCTGCACGGGCTCCTTGCAGATATCATAGCTGCCGTCAACCGGGCCCCGCATAAACCCAGCGGCTGCTACAGAGGGACCCTGATAATCGGTCGCCCAGCTGCCGTCGTTCTGGAATCTGGTGACGTACTGGGTGTTGTTATCCGACGGAGGGACAGGAGCGACATTTACAGCGGGTCCGGGCATGATCGGGACGGGTGGTACGTAGACCTGCAATCCCTGATCCTTCTTCTTCCAGTCGGCCTCGGGGAGCGTTCGAGCGACCTGACCGAGTGAGTTGTAGCTGCTGGTATCATAGATGGTCGCCGGGTTATTGAGGGTGCGTGTTTGATCGATGGTCGGCGGCATGAACCGGGTCTCGAGCTCCGGGATCTTTTGGTTCGCCGTCTGGACAGGCGTCGTATTGGTGGCGTAGTTGTCCGGCTTCAAAAACGGCATTCTTCGCGGCGCCATGAGCTGATCGCGGCGGAGGGTGTCGCCTGGGTTGATGGCGTTGACCTGCTCTTCGCGACCAACTTCTGCGGGACTGCCATCATTCAGAGTGCCGCTGAACAACTCCATCTTGTACTGTGCATACTGGGTTGGGTTGTTGATACCAGCTCCCTTGTAGAACGGTGTCATATTGGAGTGCACCGGGTCGTACGGCAACCCCGTCAACGGAGAAATGTTCTTGTCATATTTGCGCACGGCTGGGTTCGGTCCGGCTTTGTTGGGTGGTGGCAGGATGGTATTGGTCCTGCCCAGGGTATCCTCGGTGCCCCATCGACCCCGCATGTTCTGCGGGTACTTGACATCCGCTCTCCTCTGTTGGTCCTTCTTGACGGTGTCCACGGTCACCTTGATGTCGTCTGGAGGGATGGTGCTCACGACGGCGCGATCCCGGGCACTGTATGTATCGCTGACAAAGTAATAACCCAGAGCAGCCATGGCAGCGACAACGGCAACGGCTTCCATTGTGCGAGGAATGTCTTTGCACAATGATACCACTTTTTTTTCAACGCAAACACAGCGACGAAAACGCAAGCACAATGGACATCGTAGCGAGCGACATTGCTGCTAATCTCATCTTTCTGATTCATGTGGGCGTTGTGGTCTTTGTGGTCACCGGTGCTTTTATGAGCGACCCGCTCATTCTGGTGCTGCACATCATCGTCTGCCTGGGTATCATTGCGCACTGGGTGCTCGGGAACAGCGCCTGCTTCCTCACGATCCTCGAATGCTACCTCCGCGGCGTCAAACCAGACGACTCATTCGTCCACCGGATTGTCTCGCCGATCTACCACATCCGCGATGACCAAGTGCGACCCGTTGCCCGCACCATCACCGTGGTCACCATGTTCATCAGCATCTGGCGATTCTATCGTTTCACGCAGGACCAGCCGGAGAATTGGGCGAAAATCAAGAACGATTTCCGGCGCGCGCTGAGGATGGGTCGCCAAAAACATCTCGACAACGCAGCAGACACACAACGTCAAGAACAGGATGGCCAGACGACTGAATGATCCGTTCTGGCTCTATCAGCCATCGATTCTATGGGACCACAAAGAGGAGTTTCTTCCTTTGAAGCAACACAACCTCGAAGAGAAGCTCAATGCCATCACACGACTGATCATCTACGCGGCCGTCATTCTCTCAGCAGCCAACCGCAATCTCGGATACGCCAGTGCCGGGGTGATGGTGGTTCTGCTGGTCGTGGCGGTTTACAAAGTCGTCAAGGACGAAGAAGATACAGAGCAAGCCAAGAAGGCCAAGGCCACCCATGTGATATCAGATTCGGACCGCATCACAGCGAATCCTGTGAAATCATTGGTCCTCAACGAAAGCGACAAAATCGAGAACTGCACGCTGCCCACGGAGCAGAACCCGCTTATGACATGGCGTCCATTCGACGACATGAACCAGCCGGCTCCGTGTTCGGGTCCGATCGTCGATACCCGAGTGCATGATATCGTTTATAACTATCCAAACTGGAATGATCTCTACGACAAGAACGGGCGAGCCTTTGTCACCCCTGCATCTGCGACGCACATCACCGATCGAGAAAAGTTCGCACAGTGGCTCTTTGGAGACATGGTCAGCTGCAAGGAAGACACGGTGAACTGCAGCCAGCTGCTCTATGAGGATCTGAAGCAGAGCAAACGGATGTGGCCTGAAAAAAAATCAGGGTACCGAGCAAAGTGACGACTTTTTGCACTCGATGAACTACGCCAACCCTCTGCCTCCTCCTATCCGAACGGTTCCGGTCGACTTCCTGCCGCCCCCCACCTCGTGGACACGTATGGCTCCACCGGTCCCGGCAGCCCCGATGACGCCCATGAAGTATTTCCTGGACTACGAGGGCAGTGGCCGTCTGAACAAATGCCGTCGCGATGGCAC